CAGAGGGTCCCGGGTTCGAACCCTGGTCTGGCCGTGCATTTTTCCATCTTCTGTTACATATATAACATATAAATCACAAAGATGACATACATTCATTGGTCTGAAATTTAAATGAAATTGTCACAGAACTCTAGAATCAATGGAATTTTCAAATTTTAAACTTCTTTGCAGAGTGATTTAGGGTAGATTTGTTCAGACATATATATACAAATACTTTCTCATATTTTTTCCATTAACATCATCTGTATAAAGTCTAGATAACATCTTTTAATGATGGGCAAGGTTAGAATAATTATTTTGGAATTCCAGTCCATGTCTGGTTTTGTCACTTCGACAGTTTTGTCATTGTAATATGATCATGAATTCAAATTAACTATACCACTCTGCCATGTTTTATTAAAAGGTAGCAGGTCTATTCAGTTCAGTTCAGTTCACCATTTTACCTGTTCAAACTTAGGTCCATATTCCATAGCCTGTTTGCTTCCTGTTGTGTAAAATTCATTATAAAAATCCATTTGATCCGTTATCAATTATCTATTTGGCTTGCAGACTGCACAACTAGGAGTCAACGAGCACCACCAGGCTCAAGTCATCAACTATATGAGATTCTCTCGCTACCAGAGAGGTCAAAGGCTGAGAGCTGTTGACATGTGTTTTGAAGATCTGAAAAGTAGCAGGTATTTTCCTACACAAAAACTGAAAAAAAAGACCCCATTCAATTGACAAACAATTTGTACAGTGCATAACAGCATATTGTTGTAAAATTGACCTTTATGACATCATGGCACTTTTATTGAGAGAAAATGCACAATAAAATTATGAATGTGTAATTCATTTATATCTCCCTTTGAGAGGTCGTAATAAAATACAATAAATAATGTTTGAGGTATCATTATCGCATACAATGAACAATGTGATGACATCATGAATATGATAGCAACTGAGGCGGAATTTTGGTCTGTATTCATGTAAAATGTGACTGTTTTATAAGTGTTATACAGGGAAAGACAATCATCTTTCAGTTGACCTTGATATTTAGCAATTTCGGAAGTCAAATATATTTTTTTTTTTCTAAATTTTGAAGGGTCACAACATATATAAAATTGATATCTAAAACCAAAAAGTCAAATCCCATTTGGAGAGACAAAATGATTCTCTCGAGGATATACTAAAAGCCCTGGTCGTTCGTCAAGAGTTTCAATGTTTTTTTCTCCAGGCTCGATGAGACGACATACACCATAGACGAGGTTACAGACATGTTGGATGGGCTTCTGTCTGTTGTGCGAGGAGAAGTAGAAGATGAACTCATCAACACTTCACACACAAATATCCTCCAGTGTCGACAGATGTTCATGCAGGCAGAAAAGTGGCATCTCAAACTAGGGGCCGACATTTCTGAATTGGAAAACCGGTAAGAGATTGAACTTGAAAGTTGTTGATCTAAGAGTTAAGAGGTTCATCAGGGGATGTTTTTATTTATGTTGACAGAACAACTCTGTCATAATATATAAATACTAACTACGCAGGGTTGTCCTGTCAACATGACTATAAATATAATCGTTCCCTGATGAACCTCCAAAGATGTGAAAGTACTAGGGAAGTAATTGTTGTATTGCTTACACTAGCTGATCATGAGCTGGGGCTTATTGTTTTCAAATATTACAAGTATTATCCAATTATATCTCTATTTTTGTTTTTATGTAATGTTATTGTTCTGTAGTGTTTTTTCTGCATTTCGATAAAGGAGCGGATTGCTCCTAAAATTTAAAAATCCATATCGTCCACGCTGTTGGAATTACTTCTGCGCCACATTACATATACGTTTACATGCCATGACAGTTATTTTCATCAACTCTTTTTTCTAGAGATTTACTAGAACAAATAGCAGACTTTGAAGAAAAAGAATTCCGTGGTACAAAAATGGATAAGGATTTACAAGGAGTACTTAAAAATGTCAAGTTAATTCCATTAAATGAGAAGGGAGGCACAGAACTACTACACAGGGTAAGTAACTCTGTCATAAATGCTACAGAGGATAGACAACTCTGTATTAGCTACTACGCAGGGTCAGAAACTCGGTCATAAAATACTACACAGGGTAGGTAACTCTGTCATAGCTATTATGCAGGGTAGACAGCTGCTCTGCCATAACTTTTACATGGGGTAGGTAATTCTACAATATCTTGAACACAGGTTAAGCCTCAGATCTGACCCAAATTTTTACACCCTTGGGTAGAATATCCAGTATACCTACATAAGATCGTCCATCGTGAGTCGTGCATCATCCGTAGTGCATCCGTAAACAATTTACATTTTCGACTTTTTCTCCAAAAACCCTGAACTAATTTTAATGAAATTTTGCAGAAAAATTGACTAAAAATTCAAAAATCTTCTTCTCAAGATCCAGATATGGTAGAATC